ACGGCGGGAGCCGCGCCTCCTCTGCTCCGTCGCCTTAAAACCCCACAGAGAACCCCAAAGACTGAACAGGCACCCCCCGGAGGAGGCCGGAAGTCCAGGTGAAAAAATCCCGGAAATACTTTCCTCCGGATCTCTCCCGGGCGGGACACCGCGCACGTCCTTCTGGGTAATGTAGTTCCAGGCGCTCCAGGGGCCACAAGCTCACTATTGCGAGCAGCTAGGACATTAGCCCCTGGAGGGATCCTGGCAGCGGTTCTCAACCTGTGGGTCGCGGCCCCTTCGGGGGTCCAAGGACCCTTTCACAGGGGTCGCCTAAGATCATCGGAAAACACATATATAATTACATATTGTTTTTGTGATTCATCACTATGCTTTAATTATGTTCAATTTGTAACAATGAAATTGGGGGTCACCACAACACTAAGGAACTGTATTAACTGTATTGGGGGTCGCGGCATTAGGAAGGTTGAGAACCCCTGCTGCAAAGTGATGCTGCTCCCTGGAGGGAAGGGCTGGCTCCTGGCTCCATTCTGACCCCATCCACCTGGAGACTGGTTACCGGCTCAGCCCCACAAGTCTGTGCACGTAACTCTCCTTAAATGCCAATGGGAAGTCCACGTTATCTGTGCTTCAGAACAACAGGCTATTTTTAAACATATATATGTTGATTTTTTAATGTTTTTTTAGAACATCTTAAAATTGTTTTTTATACTTTATTGAGAGGAAGGGAGAGGGATAGAGAGTTAGAAACATCGATGATAGAGAGACATCGATCAGCTGCCTCCTGCACACTCCCTACTGGGGATGTGCCCACAACCCAGGTACATGCCCTTGACCAGGATCGAACATGGGACCCTTGAGTCCGCAGGCTGACGCTCTATCCATTGAGCCAAGCTGGTCAGGGCGAATTTCGTTTTTTAACACTATAAATCAATTATGGCTGTGTAAACTCATTTGAGTGTCATCTTGATATGCCAAGGTTATGGGTTCGAGCTCCGGTCAGAGCACATGCAAGCATAAATAAATGGAACAACAAATTGATGTTTTTTTTTTTTTTAAATATATTTTATTGATTTTTTACAGAGAGGAAGGGAGAGAGAGAGTTAGAAACATCGATCAGCTGCCTCCTGCACACCCCCCACTGGGGATGTGCCCGCAACCCAGGTACATGCCCTTGACCGGAATCGAACCTGGGACCTTTCAGTCCGCAGACCGATGCTCTATCCACTGAGCCAAACCAGTTTTGGCCAAATTGATGTTTTTCTCTTTCACTCTCTGACATCTTCTCTAATGTGAATAAATGAAAATTTACCTTTGGCCGGGTCCCTCAGTTGGTTAGAGTGTCATCCCAAATTGCCAAGTGGTGGGTTCGATCTCTAGTCAGGGCACATACAAGAATCTACCAGTGAGTGGATCAATAAGTGGGAGAAACCCTGGCTGAATGACTCAGTTGGAGCAACCTTCTGTACAAGACAAGTTTACGGGTTCGGTTCTGAGTCAGGGCACATACCTGGTTTGCAGGTTTGATCCCTAGTTGGGGCACATAGGGAAGTCAACCTATCAATGTTTCTCCATTTTTCTCAGTAAGAATCAATACACACACACACACACACACACACACACACACACAAGAATCAATACACATATCGTCTGGTGAGGATTTTTTAAAAAAGGGGGGTGGGGGGAGCTAGCCAGTTTGGCCTAGTGGAGAGATGTGTAATGAAGGGTCCCATGTTTGATTCTGGTTTAAGGCACATGCCCGGGTTCCAGGCTCAATCCCTAGGAGGGAGCGAGCAGAAGGCAGGAGATCAATGGTACTCTTTCATCATTTGTCTGTCTCTTTCTCTGCCTTTTTCTCTGAAATCAATAAAAAAATATATTTTTAAAATGGAGCAGCAACAACAAAAAGTCAACGTTTCTTTCCCTCTCTTTCTGCAGGCCGACGCATTATCCACTGAGCCAAACCGGTTAGGCTCATAGTGAAATATTGACTTCCCTCTGCACACCACCTACTGGGGATCAAGACCCCAACCGGGCATTGCCCTGATCAGGAATTGAACCAGTGACCTCTTGGTGCATAAGAAAATGCTCAATCCATTGTGCAACACTGGCCAGGCTTGGAGGCCTTTTATTGCCCATCTAGTTCAACAGTTATGTCCCTTGTATAGATTCGTAAAGAAAGGAGTCATATGGGGTTGGAGACAAGAGCACACAGATGCCATTAGTAGTACAAAGAAAGAGAGAAATTAGAAGACATGAAGTAAATTCAGTGACAGATACTGGTAATACTATAACCATAGTGATGGTTTCAGTTTCATACATATGTTGAGACTCATCAAATACTATAAATGAAATATGTTCTTCACTAATTAAACCTTTTGATAAATGGTTCAAAAATTTTAAAAAGTTTTCTATATCCAACTTTTAGAAAATAGGTTTGGCAACTCTCTACTCAGTCCAGGTTCTCATATCCCCTGGAGGTCAAATCTTGTTTCAGTGACATCAAATATACCAAAGAATGAAGGTCTTTCACCAAAGTTAACAAAAATAATGGCTGGGTAGCAAAAACTACATCCTTGGTCTATAGATAACATTTTTTAAAAAATATATTTACTGATTTTTTACAGAGAGGAACGGAGAGGGATAGAGAGTTAGAAACATCAATCAGCTGCCTCCTGCACACTCCCCACTGGGCATATGCCCACATGTCTGGAGATCCTCTTATTTGTGAATTCACTGGTGATCTAGTCTTTTTCACAGAAACATTTCTGGATGCATGTCCAGAAGAGGCAGATTCCATGGAGCTGGCTACAGGATTCTCCAATTCCAATTGGGCTAGTGATTCTGCAGCAATCATTCTGTAAGCAATATGGTCCTAAAACCAATGATCACCACCCATGGAATTGTAGACATTAAGACAGTTGGCCCATTGTAAAACCTTAAAGAGAAATCCCATTCAAATGGACTGGCATAGCCCTGGCCTGTGTGACTGGTGAGAGCATCGGCCCTGGTTTCAATGTGTTTTGGGTTAGATTCCCACTCAAGTGCACAAAAATGAGCTGCAGGTTCAATGGATGTGTCTCTCTCTCACACCGATTTTTCTCTCTCCCTCGCTCGTTTCCACTGTCTCGAGATGTCAATGGATAGATGTTGCCACGTGATGATTTACAACAACAAAAGTACTGGCATAGCCTGTGTGGAAAGCAAAATTCCTGCTGATCCTAGAAACAGGTGAAGTTGTCACCCCAGCTAAGTTTTGAAAGTGATGTCTAAGTCTTCAAAAACTCATAGCATTCAGGCTTCTCACGAGTACCGGAAAACTGATACTCTTTCATCATTTGTCTGTCTCTTTCTCTGCCTTTTTCTCTGAAATCAATAAAAAAATATATTTTTAAAATGGAGCAGCAACAACAAAAAGT